GTCGGCTGTCCTCCTTCAGAAAGACTCTGTTTAAAAAACAACAACAAACATTTGAATTTAGTCTGCAAGTAATTAATGTGATTACTTTAACTCTAGATCTTTGTTCACTTCAAGGTTAGAGAAAGACTTTTCTTGCTTTTGAAACTTGTTAATTTCCTGAGGCTACTGCAAGTAATTTATAATTACTTAACGTCTTTGCCTTATGAGTTAGTGAAGCATACTCTTATGAGAGTAGAACAGAGACCTTCTTTGTGGAAGTAAAGGCCATCAGTGAACTCGGATATTGCCATTTTCAAATGAATCTGCTACTGGCAGCATGGATGAATTGTTTTTTTAACCAGTGCTCGCTGACACGGCTTAATTTAAATGAGCAATAATAACTGACATGCATGCAGTTATACTGCATATCTTGAATGTATTTGAAGGCCCAGGGGTCAAAAGCCTAATACTATACTGGTTATATGCTGAAGGGGGCTACTGGGTGGTCTTGGTATGATTACTTGATGGAATTCATCATCTATTTTGGATACTGCTAAGTAATGCCTGCCAGGTAGGACCTCCGTGTACTCATTAAAACACTTTAGAAGGGGAAATTTTGCCTTCCAAATAGACGGGATTGCGCCAAAACAAATAAGAGAACAAAAAATCGCAGGAAGGATGTTCTGGAATCTCTTCTATAAGGGCTTCAACACACCCACTGTTTAAATGATGCATTGGGACTCTTACTATGGCAAGTAAACTCAGGACAGTTTCAGGAGAAATGTGCAGACATCTCTGGCAAATGTATTTAGAATAAATCAATTAGCTGAGCAATATTGTTTCCTTCCTTGGGTTGATGAGAAACTGTTTCTCTTTAAACGGCAAAGCAAGGGCATAACTAGATCAAGTCTGCTGCATGTGCTATTTGCAACATAGATACTTGATGTCACAGAAACAAGGAAAGAAAAATTGGGTAAAGCCCTTATTAAAATACTGGCGACGCTTCATAGGAAATAGCAGGACTACTTCAGAAGGAAGAGGAGGTGAAAATAAGCGGCAAAGAACATGGCCATAAGTATGTGGAAAAAGAGGAGCTACTTTGCTACTGCATTCGCTTTTTGTGTCCCTAACAATCTGTTTCCTGTTGTTTGATTGAAAAAAACTAAATGGGAGATGGATTGACTAAAAATGAGGAAATCAGGGAACCTCTATGTATTCTAGACAAATTCAACCAACTGGAAAAAAATAACCTATGAAAAATATTTTCCAATAACCCTAAATGGTACTTTTACCAGTAATTAGTAAAGGATACAAGTTGGATATAAGTATAACTTTTAGGTGGACAGTGTACCCTTTTAATTTCACTGGGTACTTTAAATTCTATATTTTAATGGTAACTGAAGAGGAGAAGGAAAATAATCTAAAATTCAACTCAGCATACACAGAATTCCTTTATGACCCTTACCACCTCTATGGCTTGTCCTCGGGATTTTGAGGCAGTTGTGCAAAGTCATTCTTTTTGTCACTCCAAATGTGACAAAAGGGAGATGGAGCCCAAATGCTCTGTGCACAATGTTAAAAAAAATAATCAAGGGCAATCTTTTCTAAACTTTTCCTATAATCACAAAGGATGCCGTTCTCTCTTCTGGTAATTATTCCCCATGTAGGGTAGAAAAAATGGACCTTGGACTCAAGATTCCTTTTTGTTGTTGCATCAGTCCCAACATTAATTGAACTTGCATTCTCCAAATGAATACATGTGGATCCTCTTCTATGAAGTTGTTTCTGAAGGTTTTGGAGACAGAGTTTTCAAGCAATGGAATTGCTTCCACTCAGCTAATATCAACAAGTTCTTTTTTTTTTTAATGCTCCACAAAGACAGAGCAAAGCATTTGGTACCACTTCAGATTTGTTCAAATAAACATACAACTCTTAAAATTTCTGGTAGTTGTAAATTAACTGAACTTTTTAAAAGAGAGTTGCCCAAGTTAATGAAAGGCTCAGTAACTGAAAGTACATATCATGCATTAGTTTAAAGCCTGCTTTTCCCCTCCCCCCTTTATACAAAGAGTTCCTCTGTATGGTTGGCTCTGCCTTGGTTTTTTTAAGAGAGATCTCTAAGATCCTTTGTATTATTTTAACTACTCATTTGATGTAGCAGTTGCAAATTCTGTCACAGGGGCTGTCTTGTATAGTAAACTACAGAAATAGAGGATGTTTTCTTCTACAGGGAAAATATATGAGTGAGACTATTGTGGTTTAAAAGTAAAGCAATAATGAATGTATTTGAAAAGTTATTGACTTGTACTATACTGAGTGTATACTGTTGAGTATTTACTTTTTTCTTTATAAGAAGGAAAAGGTTATATAGAGTTCATAGATTTCATAGATGTTAGGGCTGGAAGGGACCTTGAAGATCATCAAGTCCAGCCTTCTCCCCAGGAGTAGGAAGTCAGCTAGGGTCAAAGGATCCCAGCAAGATAAGCATCCAGGCATTTCTTGGATGAATCCAGAGTAGGTGACTGCACCACTTCTGGAGGGAGTCTGTTCCAGGTCTTGGGGGCTCAGACAGTAACGAAAATTTTTCTCATATCCAGCCTAAAACGGTCTGGGAGGGGTTTATAACCATTGGTCCTTGTTCTCTCAGGTTCTGATGTACACCCCTTACATATTTATAAGCAGCCACCAGGTCCCTCCTAAGCCTGCACTTTTCCAGGCTGAAGAGTCCCATGGCTCTCAGCCTCTCTTCGTAAGGCCTATTCTCTTGCCCTCTGATCATGCACGTGGCTCTCCTCTGGACTCTCTCAAGCTTCTCAACATCCTTCTTGAATTGTGGAGCCCAAAACTGGATGCAGTACTCCAGCTGTGGCCTCATCAAGGCCGAGTACAGCGGAAGGATGGCATCCTGAGATTTACCTGAGAAGCATCCAGGGATACAAGCCAGAGTTTTGTTTACTTTACCAGCTGTGACATCGTATTTGTGGCTCATGTTCATCTTGTGGTCAATCATGACCCCCCAGTCTCTTTCAGCGGTGGTGCTAGCAAGCGTAGCACTGCCAAGCCTACAAGTATGCTGCACATTTTTTTTCCCTCTGGGGTGGAGTACCTTACATTTATCAGTATTGAACGTCATCAGGTTTGTATGCGCCCACTTACTAAGTTTATCCAAGTCAGCCTGGATCACTAGCCTGTCCTCAGGTGTGGATGCTATGCCCCAAAGTTTAGTGTCATCGGCGAACTTAGCCAGTGCGCTTCTGACACCAATGTCCACATCCTTGATAAAGATGTTAAAGAGAACCGGTCCAAGGACAGAGCCTTTAGGGACACCACTGGTCACGGAGATCCATAATGATTTGCTACCATTGACCACTACTCTCTGGGTCTGATCTCTGAACCAATTTCCCAGCCATTGGACTGTGGTGTAGCCAAAGCCACAGCTGGCCAATTTTTCCATGAGGAGGTCATGGGACACCAGATCAAAGGCTTTCTTAAAGTCCATATATATGACGTCAATCTCTTCTCCCTTGTCCAGGTGATATGTCACCTGGTCATAGAAGGAGATGAGATTGGTCAGGCAAGACCTACCTGTGACAAACCCATGCTGGCTGTCCCTCAGGATGTTGCCCTCAGCCAGCTTATCCAGAAGGGTCTCCTTGATAATTTTCTCCAGAATCTTACCTAGGATTGAGGTCTAGCTGATTGGCCTGTAATTCCTGGGATCTACTTGCCGCCCTTTCTTGAAGATGGGTACCACATTTACCTTCTTCCAGTCTTCAGGTACTTCACCTGAGCACCACGAGTTTTCAAATATTTTTGCCAATGGTTGGGCTATGACATCTGCCAGCTCCTTGAGTACTCTAGGGTGTAATCTGTCCAGACCAGCTGACTTAAAGGTGTCCAGCCTCTCAAGGTGATCCTTACTAGATCAACACTGATGCTGGGTATAAATATGCCCTCACCTTGAATTGGATTAATTTTTCAGTGAACAAGCTTTTAATAGCCTAAAGATATAGGCATGATGTTGGTTTTCCTGCTTCGCTGTTAAAATGTATATTTTTTTCCTGCCCCATATTGTAATAAGAGTAAAAACAGAGTTTACTTTTGAAAGAATTCATAATAAATTATACCAAAAATCTGCTCATGGCAAGCTGCAAGACAAGAGTGAAAATTGTATATTGTTTTTAAAAGCATGAATATAATAACTAGAGGGTCATATTAGAAAGGCTGAAATTCTTCCTGTTTACTGCCTCAGTACAGTTGTCCCCTAATGTTCTGATGTTATTAATAAGAAGTCATTGCCCATGAAATCCTTGGTGTTCACCATGCAAGCCTTACGTCAAGCACATTTTATCTACTTTAAGCCATATAGGTTTTCTTGTTGCTTTTGAATGTAGTATGAATGCTAATCTGAAACAACTATTTATTCAGACTGTCTCTGAAAATCTCCAAACAAAACTAATCTTGTTCTCAGTGCAGTAACCTACAAGTTAAAAGTTTTGGTCTTCTCTTATTGAAAACAAACTACATTAGGGTAATTCCATTGTGTACTTATAGAGGTGTGAGAGTGGAATCATGTCTAATGAAGTTGAATATCCTGGTGATAAGGGTCATATGTGATACAAATCTTCACATTAAGGTGAAATGTCCAGGTATGAAGATTTGCATTTTGAGGGCTTTATATCAGTTTTATACAAATACAGCACTGCTGATTTAAATCATTATCTATACCACTGTAAGTGAGAGGTCCTAAATACTGATGCCTTAAACTAACGTATCACAATTTATAATTCACTTGAAAGAGTAATACAGCATGTGTGACGGTCAGGGTCAAAGTGCTGTTGGCATTGCAAGAAAGACTTGTCGACAAATTCATTATGTGACACAGAACTATGGTAATATAAATAACACAAGTTATTTTTCAAGATAATCTCAGACATGGAGATAACTGTGTATTGGTAACTCTAGCAATGTATAAGATTTGATGGGATTTCAAGAAACATACTGTTTTTTTCTCTTTGTAGATGTTGATGAGTGTCAGGCTATACCAGGAGTCTGCCAGGGAGGAAACTGCATTAATACGGTTGGGTCTTATGAATGCAAATGTCCTGCTGGTCACAAACAGAATGAGGCAACTCAGAAATGTGATGGTAAGCATGTCAGAGAATGCTCTTAAATGTCTTCATTGACTAGTAAAGCATCATTTTGTGTTTGTGTTTGGAAAGTTATAATTGAAAGTCTGTGATAATGAAAAAAAATAGTTATGTTCATACCATACATTTTATTTGATAGTTTGCCTTCTGGCTTAACAGGTTGCATAGAACAGAGAATTACCTTGTTAAAAAAATTGCAGAAAAAAAAAGAACGTGCAGAGCAGAATGTAATAGCGGCTGGGCCTTCAGTGTTTTGTTTAAAAATAATCTTCTTGGGGATCACCAGCCTGCTGATCATAAGATGAAAAACAAATATAGCTGATTTGATGAAGGGGTTAAGAAATTACTATTGTGCACAGTTTGTTAAATAAAGATTTGCTAAATAAAGCTCCAGAGGAGACTGCATTGTTTTTGTGTAACAGGTTAGTTTACACTTGATCCAGATGAGGCTCAAACACTGTCAGTATTCTATAAATAGTCTTTGCTCACTTGATAAATGTGTAGATTAACTAAAGACAGAAACTGCATGTACTTTCAAAGTAATTTAATGAAAAACTGTTAAATGCATATTGCTTTGGTGTAGACGCATGCCATTTTCACAGTTCTAGTAATTTATGAACTATTTATCTGAAAAGTGTCAGTGTAGCTTGAGTTAGATGTTTGCATCAGTGAAATTCATTTACATTTGAAGTGATTGCTTTATTTTTCCTTCTGATGTGCATTATTATGTATTTTAAAGATTTATTTGTGTAAATTAGTAAATTACCATGTGTTTAAAAGAAACAAGAAATCAGGAACTTTTATTTATGCAGCCAACATTTTTTTCAGACACAAAGATAATATTCCTTTCAAGTAATATGCAGTTTTAATAGGAGACACAGCTGTTAGTTTAGTCCTTAGTTTTTATTCTGAAGGCAATTTAAGCAAGCTGCCAGGCTGATTGATACTGAGTTTGGTTCAGTTAGGAAGATATGATTAATCAGCTGTGTCCACTTTTTCTCCTGGTCTGTTTACAGTGACGTATAGGTGAAAAACTAATGCCACACTGTCAGTTTGGAAATGATGTTTCCAAAATGTTTTTTTTTTTTGTTTTTTTGGGGGGGGGTTGTTTTTTTACTTCATTATTATTTATTATTACAAGAGGCAAGAAATGTTTTGTAATATCTTTTATTGGGCCAACACTGTAGTTGGGAGAGATGTTGAACAGACTTTTGGGCATAAAGTGCACTTCATCAGCTGGCCTGATGAAGGGCAGTTTATTCCTGGAAACTTATCTGTCATCTTTCCTGACTATACAGTTGGTCCAAGAAAAGATATCACAAAATACTCCTGACCCCTTGTGCATTTCCTGGACCATCATGGTTAAAACAACACTCTGGTCTAATTGTTACAAGTAACAACTAAATCATTTTTTCCCTTTGCTTCTTTCTCCCCAGTTTTTGCTATGCACTGGACTATATTTTGAATATAATCACTTTCCTCAATTGTATTCATGGCTAGTTTCACTTCCCCTTTCGTGCTGTAGTATGTATTGTTCTGAGGGAAACTCACAATTTTTATAGGACCCACAATAGCATGTTTACTGCAATTATAAAGAACTGTTGCCTTGTTTGAACTTGGGCTAGTAATGTATTTTCTTCTCCAAGCCCTAACACATGGGTGAGAAGCAATAGGCACTCTGTTTGTCTGTGTATCTGAGGTTTGAAGATGATCTGAGAATACCAAAGAGCTTGGCAAATGTGTAAAGGAGCAACTCCATGGACCATACATTGATACAAGTGGCAAGGAATACTAGGAATTTTGCAGGGACTTCAGAAGATGCAACTTCACTCCCTGAATGCAGACAGCACTTCACTCCCATAGGGCCATAAATCAACATGGCCTTCCATCCCGTCTGAGATCCAGGGAGAAGCCATAAAGTACCAAGGGGGCAGAAGAGCCCTCCACAGTATGCAGGAAAGACCAGAAGCAACTGGAAGGAGAAACAGTAGACAAGTGCCATCTTACATTGTAGGCAAAAGAAGAGTGTGCCTAGAAAAAAGTCAGGACCATGCAGAAACTAGGAAGAGGAAAAAACAGTGGTAGGTGCAGGGTGCACAGTGCAATTGGGAAGAGCTTCCATGGCCTGAAAGACTAGTTGAAGTCAGGAAGAAATGAAGATCTCCTCCTGGCCATGCTTCTTTCTATAGGAAGTAGAAATAAAACTGGAGTTTCACATCCACACCTGGAGTACTGCCTCCAGTTTTGGGCCCCCCACTACAAAAAGGTTATAGACAAATTGGAGAGAGTCCAACAGAGGGCAACAAAAATGGTAGGGGCTGGGGGACATAGCGTATGGGGAGAGGCTGAGGGAACTGAGCTTATTTAGTCTGCAGAAGAGAAGACTGAGGGGAATTTAATAGCAACCTTTAACTACCTGAGAGGTGGTTCCAAAGATGATGAAGCTAGACTGTTCTCAGTGGTGACAGATAACAGAACAAAAAGCAATGGTCTCAAGTTGCAGCAAGGGAAGTTTATGTTGGATATTAGGAAAAACTTTCTCACTATGGGGGTGGTGAAGGACTGGAACAGGTCACCCGGAGAGGTTGTGGAATCTCCATCCTTGTTGATTTTTAAGACCCAGGTAGACAAAGCCTTGGCTGGGATGATCTAATTGTGGATGGTCCTGCTTTGAGCAGGGAGTTGGACTCCTGAGTTCCCCCCCAACCCTAATTTTCTATGCTTCTGTGATAGAGGAGATTCCCCAAGTTCCTTCACAGGCATTGGGGAAGGAAAGAAAACTGTGACCTGAATAGGTGATTTATTTCCATGCTTTACAGGAAATGGAGCTAGAGGTTTTTGCAGACACTTTGGAAAACGCCTAACCCTGGCAAGGTTCCTTCTGTAGAGTCAGCAAAGTTTCCTACTTATGGCCTGGCTTTTTTCTAAGGAGTCAGAAACACTATCACTGAGAGAGAGAGGGGAAACTATATTACCCCACTTCTCTTGGTGGGAAATAAGTATTCCAATATCAGAAGAGACAGGGTATGCCTTGATTGGCCTGTTGCCCAGGTAGCAGGCATCAGTGGAGATGAGCCAGGAAAAGCAACAGGAGCTGCAGACCTAGCCTTCTTCCATGCTAAACCTTATCTTTCCACAGAAGAAATGGAGCAAGGGTAATTTCCTGGGGGCATGCTGGAAATCTGGGGCACAAGTGGAGCACAGGGCCAGTCCTTTAGCTGTCAAAGGACTGCTGCTGGTACTGCTACCACTGTTGTCCCTGCTGAGCTCCATGCAGCCCAACTGGAGTGGGCACAAGTAGATCTGAAACTTTCCCCTGCCCAGGAACAGTGTTGAGGCTGCAGCCACCCCTCCAGAGCAGATTGTTGCTCATGCACCCCTCTTTGAGCAGGGAGTTGGACTCCTGAGGTCCCTCCCAACCCTAATCCTGGGTCTGCCCCAGACCCTGCCTATTTATTGATAGGGTGCATTATCAGAATTTGGATGACAGTGCTAGGGGTGGGGACCTTGATAGAAAGTTTAAGCAGCTAGGAAGACCCATGTGTTGGTGAATTCTTACACAAGCAGTACCACTGAATTGGGTTAGCCACGTGAACCAGGGTTCACCAGTGGAAGGGTTGTGCAAGCTATCCCTGTTCTTTTTCCATCAAAAGTTGTGCATGTCATTGGTACACCCTTGCTCATGCAAGTATTTGTATTCAGTACTCCTGTAAGAGCTCATCATTAACACGAGCTTTGGTTACATAGTCAGCATCTATTCCAACTGAACTCCTTTAGCTAATTCTTTTGGCTTTGATGTCCTTACTTATCTGTATATATTTGTTCACCAACCTGAATGAGAGGAGCAAAATTAATCTAAGAGCTTGTATAATCATTAACTTCATAGTATATTAGCACAAATGTTCATGTGCATGTATGCACATGCATGCACAAATGTGCACACAAAGACACACTGTAAAAAGCTGTAAAAAGCAGCTACTCTGAGGGAAAAGGCAGTGAGAATCTGTGAGCAATCTTGTCTGCTGGATGCTAGTTCTTGGGGAAGTGTTCAAAAAATGTCACTGGTTTAGAGGACTTGGAGCTGATAATCACCCAATGTTTCTTCCTGGCTAGAAAATAGGTAATCCCCAAACTGTGTCTAGGTGGTCCTGGAACTCTTTTCTGTTTTGACTAAAGATATAGTCTGAATGGGAATGAGAACCACCAGTTTAGGGAAACTTAATTGAACTTCTAAGGTAAGTACAGAGGTTCAAAATGCCCAAGGTGGAATCAGTTCAAGATTTGCAGGTTTTTGGCTAGCAGGGCTCTGATTGGCTCAGCCCCACACCTGTGAGAGGCGGTGGGGAGAATGCACACACGCAGCCTGGCACTGGCCCCCCTCCCAGCCAGGATCTGCCCAGCGTGGGGGAAAGACCCCACTTGGGGGTCTTCACTCCCCTGCAGCTGAGCTCACTGGGTTGGGATCAGCTCAGCTCTGCCCCCTGCCCAGCCCCTGCCTGTAAGCAGCTGGGAGCAGGGGGCAAATGCACAGAGCCAGCTGGGCACTGCCTCTACCAGCTGGAGTCTGCCCAGCATGGACGGGGGGAAGCCCCCACCAGCGGCTTGTCACTCCCTTGCAGCCCACCTCACCAGGCTGGCATGGGCTCTGCCCCCCATCCTCCCCTGGCCCCCTGCCTGTGAGAGGCAGGGGAGCAGGGAGAGGAAAGCACCATCCTGGCCTGGCACCAACCCCCTAGCCAGGGTCTGCCCAGTACGGGGCAGTAAAGACCCTTACCAGTATAAGCTCTGGGCGGCTGCAACAAGAAGGGCCCAGCAGCAGTGAGGGGGAGTGACCACTTTTCCCCTGTGCTGAAAAGCAGCTTCTGCCTGGCTGCTGCAGCTGCTTAGTGTGGGCGGGCAGTACAGAGCAGGCACGGGGCAGGCCAGGGTTGAGGCTGTATGTGCAGGTTCCAGCTGGTCCGCTCTAGCCAGGGTGAGTCTGGAGTGGGCATGGGGCA